CATCGTAGTCGGCATCATCAGTGAGTTTTGCCATTCGCCTCACCAAGCTACGAACTCGTCAAAGAGACAACGTTTGTCGAAGGATTGACTTCACTTGTCTCTTTGACGAGTTCGTAGCTTGGTGCGGCGAATGGCAAAGCTCACTGATGATTCCGACTACGAGGCCGGCGAAACGTCTGAGAATGTATCAAGTCCACGGTCGGATGCTAGGAATCAAGACAACTACTACGGCAGACGACTTCGCGATGCCGGCGAAACGTTTGAGAATGTATCAAGTCCACTGTCAGATGCTGGGAATCATGACAACTACTATAGCAGACGACGTCCACTGTCAGATGCTGGGAATCATGACAACTATTCGGCATGCCGGCGAAACGTTTGAGAATGTACCAAGTCCACTGTCTGATGCTGGGAATTATGACAACTACTATGGTAGTCGGCAAAACGTTTGAGAATGTATCAAGTCCACTGTCAGATGCTGGGAATCATGACAACTACTATGGCAGACTACTTCGAACTAGGTGCGTTCTACATGGTCACCCTGAAAACAAGACCGATTTGCGACAATGAGGTCAACCCACTTCTATCAATCGAAAGGAGACTGCAACCACACCAGAGGCTACAACATCTTGGTCTTCATATATTTAATTTTCTACGTTTATTTTTCAGTTTATAAATGTAGCTATCATATTCAAATTTTGTTCTAAGATATTTGCATTAAGTTTACTTTTTTTAATTCGGATAAAAGGACACTGTGGAATCGATGAAGCCGTCGTAAATTAACTGCATTTGTGTGCGATTTATATTTGATGCGGTTTGTATCAATAGTAAAATGTATGAGCATAAAATCTCCTTTTTTCCTTAACAAAATGCAATTTATTCTGAATGGATTTAACGTTAAACAAACACTTATTTTAGGAATTTATAAAGTGATGCCAATTTTACTCCGAATATAAAGCACAAATAACTTAAACCATTCTCTCTAGATAATTGGACTTCGAAAGGCTTCTTTAAAGCAATTACGCTATAAATGTATTTTTTCTGGTAAATTTGAAAGAATACTTGAATCCTCATTATACAAATTCTTAAATGGAACTTTCTTTCCGTTAATGGATCCCCAAAGAAATACTGAATACCAGGACAATGAAGATAGTTATCTATGCTATCGAAATGATTTGCAGGTGAGTAAATTAAGTACTCTGATTAAATAAATCTATTAATGGGAATATAATTGCCTCTACCTTTATCAAAAAATCAAAGTAAATAAATGAGGACCCACTGAGCAAATAAATTAAACATAATATAAATACCTTAATTTTCAATAAATAGTTGATCTCAGAAGAAAGTAAATCGAGACTGATTGAAATTGGGTAATTCCAGATGGAAAAGTGGCACTTCACGTTATCAAATAACTCACAGCTGTTTTCTTAACTAGTGGCCGAGCAAAATGAACAGTTCTTAAAGGAAGCTCTTTTTAAAAACTAAATAACCTAGGCACGCATCAAACTTTATTGGCAGAGGCAGGCTAGATAAGAGAAGCAATTAAGCAAGTTAAAACAATGTGAAAAGAAATCTGGCCATTGAGAAAGAAATGCACAATCTCAGAATCATAAGCCATTCATTTTTTCTTGTGCACATTTATCGGTCATAAAGACTGTAGCTAGATATGCATAAAATGATTGTCAAAAGTGTCCCAACGAAAGGGCTAAGCCCAAAGAACAACCCGACAACGAACATGAATTTACTTTAATTCACTCTATAGTCCTGCTTTTCCAGTGATAAGTGATCTATTTTTCGGCAAAATCGCCTTATCTTTGTAAAGTACTTCTTTCCTACCTCCTTTCACAAGTATGGCCACATTTATTCACACACTGACTCAATTCACATTTTTAGGCACTCGAAGTGGTTTCAGCTACCCAGATCAAAGCTGTTCACAATCGGCTGAGTTAACTCGGGGGACTAGGTCATAGCGGCGATTTATGGGCCCATTGCTAGACTGCCCCTTTGAGGTCAAAAACTCTTGTGGATGAAAGGTTTAGGCGTTTTAACATAAAAGTCAGCAAGGCCTGGTCCCTGCCTACTGAGTCGCAATGGAAGAATTGAAGCCAGCTATCTAGCTTAATAGATAGAAGGCTATACAGGTGGATGAAAAAGAACTATGAAAAGAGAGGATAAGAGCAGCCATAGTGCACTTTTCTAGTTCGGTTCACCACTTATATGATAAGTGTGCTTTCCAACGAGAGCCAATAAAATCCTCATCATTACTGTTACCTAGGTAGCTTTAAGGTCACACATATAAATACAAATGTACAATTTGTTTCGGTAAAACAGCAAGATGACTTTAGCAATTTGAACTATATCAAATTTTAAGATATTCTAGTCACGCCCTTCATCAAGAGCAAGATGTATTGATTAAGTGCATATATAAATGTGTGCATTCTTGAAATTATGGATGGCCATCTGAATACTTCGTTACCATACAGATCTTTTGGAAGGATGATATATTCAAACACTAGGTTCAGGTAAATTTAGAAATAGAAAAAGACATGGCTAATGACAAAAATATCAAGCCGAATTATTGCCTAATTGAATGAAATAATGGCGTTAAAGCATTTTAATTGCATTTTGAAGTGAGGCTAGTAAAGGACAGCTAAATACCAGTTAAATCCACAATTTAAGTGAATAAAATAAATCACATAAGTTAAGCTCTTATAATTCAGGTACTTAGGACATAAAAGATAATGATTGAGTAGCAGATCTACTTCATGGTTTTGAAGGTTAAGGATTTGATTCCAAAAGTGAGATTGCTAAAGCTAATGTATGCCAAATACATCAATACCTTTCTAGTGATTTTCATATACTGGATAATTTTTCGCAACTATCACTAAGTTATTATGAAATAAGTA